CGTTTTGGACGCCCCTCGGTTTGCCAGATATGAGCGCAGTTATCAGGTCAAACCAACAGGTGTTGCAGCGATGGAAGCGGGCAAGAGAAGTGGTTCAGATAGAAGTGATTGTACCCGACCTAAAAAGCCTCTGCATGTTTCTAATAAGCTCCATGAGCAGAAACGTGCTCAAACTAGGATCAATATTGGAGATGCTTTTGAAAAATGGAGAGAGGTTAGAACACAGAAAGGTTTACAGACCCATGCAGAGCTGGATAAACACTGAAGCTTCAGTGTCCAACACATGGCAACCAGCATGAGCATGGACTCTAGAGAGGGAGGGGGGAGACAGCTCTATGCAATGTTTAGAATTTGGACTGCAGTACCCATTTTGACCACTAGGAGTCAGAGTAACATACCACTCCTTTAATGATAGAGTTTTAAAGAGTTCCAGACCACCAAAAAGTTTTGAATGTGTTTATTATTATGTGTCCTGAGAGCTTTTTTTAAATATAATTAGATTGAAAACACTGATGATGATGATGTAAGCACTTGAGGGAAATGATGGTACGCAAACAATTAATTTAATTCCTCATTAATTTCCGTTGTTTAGAGAAACATTTCAGGGCATTTTTAATGTTGTGCATGAGAGGATTTCATTTGTTACACAGATGTTTTTTAAGTAAGAACCTATGACCAAAGGTCTCTTTATAAAACAGGCTGACACTGATGTTTGATGTTCACTGATCTGAACTTTAAAGTCGTTTGGTCCTTAAGTCCTTCTTTTAAACAAGATCCTGCAATGACATGAATCCCAGAGGACGTGTGTGAAGGTCATCCAGGTCATGGTCATTCAAAAGCCTGATCCAATTATTCTGCTAAATCCACTTCCCCATGTTCCTCTAACTCTAACATCTGTCTCTAGTCTGTTTACAAACCCCCCACTGATGAGAAAAGTCCATCCTCTCCGTCTTCTGCCTGCTCCACTTCTCAGAAAATGTGTGCTCATACAGGCCATTTGGAGATTTTCCCTTCATGACATCACAAAGGGCAGTAGCCCCTCCCCCAGGTGGGTGACACTCCCACAGCTAGGTGTTTGTTCTGTCCTCTGAGTCTGCCTTCTCACCGTAAACAATAGGACATAGAGCGAGAAAGTACCGAGACACCCAAGCACTTCCAGAGAGGGGGCGTGGTCAGACACAGCTCATTTACATATTTAAAGGTACAGACACAGAAACAGCCTGTTCTGAGCAGGGCTGAAATAGAGGGGTTTATAGACATGATCAAATACAGGATCAGAGGGGATTTAGAACAAGAAACTTCACACATGTTTTGGGGAGCTCTGAGACTTATTTACACTGAAGAAGAGGAGAATATGTCACCTTTAAAAGCTAAATGCTCCAGTATGTATTCCAGTAAGTTTCCAGCTGTGTCTGTCTGCTGTTTGGTGTTAAGCAGATAACCTCTTGAGGGTTTTTTTGGACCTTTCCTCTGAAAGCAGACGCCTGCTGCCGCTGTAAACAACACGACGAGAGGGGTGAGAGCGAAAACAGTAAACTTGATGTGGACTATAAAAGCAGAACCTTTAATTGAAACAATGCTATAAAGTATTTTTTAAAAGTCAAATCCTTCTGCATCCAATCTCTTTTAAAAGTGCCTAATTCAATATGAAACAATAAACCTTTGTGTTAATAGAAATACATCTCACTTCAGGTATTTATTGAAGCTCACATTCGGTTTCAAACTGAAGTGATATGGACGATGATGAAAGAAGTGAGCGATGTTAGAGGTGGATTAATGAAGGTAGGATCATTACTGATTAATGGGAGGCAGGCGGGAGGGTGTCATTACTGAATTAAAACATCTGCGATGGATCGTTTCCAAATGATGTAACCTCCCCTCAACCTCCAAACATGTGCTTTTATAAAAGACAGCACAAGGTGCGCTTAGATCCCAACCTGCAGAGAACATTCTGTGCAGAGATAGCGTGGGACGACGAGGCTCGAGGAGTATTCTCATGTGAACTCGAGTGTGTAGCTTTGTGTTGACAGACGCGCAGTCATAGCCGTGTCTCGGCTGCTTTCACTCACTCAATCACATCATCATCAGACGGAGTTGACTTGGCCATGAACTTCACTCTAGCTCTCCATGTGCAGCAGTCTGCCAACCAATAGAGAACAAACCATATGACGTATTTTTGTAGGCCAACCCGGAAGTAGCATCTCCATGGGGTCTAACCAGAATTCTCCTCTGGGATGTTTTCATTGGATTTTGGATCATTGCAGAAAACAATCTCTGTGTTAAACGCACGTTTCTGAAGCGTAGGCGTTTTGTTCAGCAGGATGATCTTCACAGATGAACGCCATTTTTATGATGTTTGAAGAGTTAATGAGGCCGACAGAAGTAAAAAGCTAACGTTATGCTACAAGCTAACTACACCACGGTCAGATGATTGTGACGTCACTAGCGTTATGCTTCAGACGATCTCCGATAAACTAATCCACGTAGCTTAATAAATAGTTTACTAACATAATATTCACCTTAACCTAAAGATTAAACCTACAGGAGACATCTCCGACTAGTGAGAGAGTTCCCACCCTCTGTGTCCGGCGTGATGACCTTTAATGACCCCGACAACCGCTGTAGTCACATTTAGCCGCTTGTTAGCAACCGCCTTTTTAAAGACGAGTAAAAACTTCAAACTTCACAAGTGGAGGTATTACCTAACGTAGTTTATGTGCTCTAACAAAACACCAACATCTCTTCAGCTTGTGTTAACCACAGACCTTATTTCAGGAGTCTAACCACAAACACATTCAAAATCCCCGTTGACTTTTAGATGTTAGACCCCATGGCGCTCAAATACTAACTCACTTCCTGGTTTTAGGACTCATTCCTGTGGCGATCTATTGTCCCACGGCTAAAATAACCAAATATCTAAAAAGAAAATGTGATCCATTTTACTTTTTAAATAAATTCTTACTGAGACTCAGAAATCAAACTTCTCTGTTTTAAATCATTTTTCTCTCTCTCGTCCTCACTGCCTCCCTCGCCTCTCGGACCCGATGCCCGTCCCCGTCTGTAACACGTCCTTCAGAGGAGACGGAGGAAAGCCTTTCCTGTCACAGCGTGCCTGCTTTTCTCTTCCAGCACAGGATTGATTTGTCTCTCTTCTCTGTGACTGACAGACTACATAAACAGCTAAAACGCGTGGCTCGGAGCTGTCTGGCAGCCGTGGCTCCCCGCGCAGGCAGAGGCTGTACTCGCTCTGATGTCCTGGAGGCCTGTGGGGGGGGGGGGGGGGGGGTCTGGCACTGTTCTCATACGCCTACACCCCTGATGTAGCTGCATGGTGTGCAAGCTGCTATTTTTGAGGAGTGCATATCGTTTGGCAGCGGTGTTCTCTCGTGGTATTAACTTGTAATCTTAATTAATTCATGAACATTTGGACACATTTTGGATTGCATGTGTGATGTTGCTGCTGATATGTCTGAAAGCCAGAGTGTCTCTCTCCTGCGCTGTGATGCCCAGAAGGTAAGGAACGCCAGATTATGAATTCATTTAAGCGCCACATTTTGTTCTATACACTTACTTCTTCATCTTCTCTGTCAGTAAGCCAAAGACGATAACCCTCTCATATATTCAACCTTCTCTACTTTGTGTTGACTTGAAAGGCTTTTGTCAGGTCAGGCCCCTGTGGGAGCTAGAGCAGGCTTAGGACGCCCTCTGCTGGTGAAAATGGATATTGATGTTGGAGAAATCTCTCCAGTGAAACGGTGAAGTTTAGAAGGCAAATGATGAAGTGCTTATGACATTTAGCAAACAACTTCTGTCCTAGCTTCACTAACTTTGCTGGTTGCCGACTTCTTGTAGAATTTATTTTAAAATTGTACTTATAACTTGTAAAGCTTGAACCTGAATATTTAAGTGAGATGTTACCGCTTCACTGCCAAAGAGCTCTGAGATCAGCTGCTTCCCCTGCTCACCGTGCCCGAGTCAAAGTCGAGGTCAAAGGGTGATCGAGCCTTTTGCTGTGATGTCACCTCAGCTCTGAAACACAGTCCTTTATATTTGTTAACCTGACTGTTTCTGTTTTCAAATCCTGCCTTAAGACTCACTCTTACAGACTTCTGAGCTGACTGATAAATCATCAGCTGTGCAGATTTAAAAGTCTGTTTTTGAATGTTTTTACCAAATTTGTGATTGTCTCTTTTATATTTCTTTATGCTCCTGTCTCTACAAATAAAAGTATAATTGTGATTATTTCCCAGCTCATTAAAGGAGCATTATATAACTCTGACACCTAGTGTTTAAAATGAGTACTGCAGTCTAAATTCAAAACATCATAGAGAGCTGTCTCCCCCCTCCTCTCTAGAGTGGATGCTCACTCAGGTCACCATGTGGTGGACTCTGAAGCTTCAGTGTTTATCCAGCTCTGCATGGGTCTGTAAACCTTTCTGTGTTCTAACCTCTCTCCATTTTTCAAAAGCATCTCCAATATTGATCCTAGTTTGAGCACGTTTCTGCTCGTGGAGCTTATTAGAAACATGCAGAGGCTTTTTAGGTCGGGTACAATCACTTCTATCTGAACCACTTCTCTTGACCGCTTCCATCACTGCAACACCTGTTGACCTGATAACTGCTCTCATATCTGGCAAACCGAGGGGCGTCCAAAACGGGGGGCCGTGTGGGAGTCGAGTTAAAACCATTACTTTCTCTGGTCCAAACAAATCCAGAGCATTCAGGAGCAGAATCTAAAGTTAGAAGGAGGACATACTGGCTGCTGCACTGTTGTCAGAGAAGCCAGCACTTCAACATAGCATGTTTCCTTAATGATCAGATAGTAAGATACCTTTATCATTCACTCTCTACACATCTCACTGATTGGACCTTTGAATATCTGATGCACTCTTGCACCGTGCTGTTGTTTGTCTTTTCTGTAATTTGCTCATACGAGTCTTTGCTGTTTTGTTTTTTCTGTCATTTGTTTTAAGATTTAATAAAATAATTAGAAACAAAGATATCTTTCAGAAAATATAATTTCTTCTTTATTGTTGTTAGCTGTCGGGAATATTCCGCATTTAAAGAAAAGGTATAATACGTCTTCTCTATGGTCGAGAGTCAATAAAACACAGCGTCACTCAGGAGGTTATTGATTATCAGTAGCTTGCATATTATAATGTGGGATTACGGGGGGAGTCAAATACTGCATACATAAACGATCCATGACCGACAGAGGCCGTTCAAGTCGAGCTGTTAGACGACCACTTGAAGGACTTCCACAGCCTTCGTGTGTTTGGTTTGGCTCGAGTCCGGCTTGTTCCGCCCCCCTTTCTCCGTGGTGCTCATTTTCTCGCAGTGATCCGCCTGACCGCTCTGCTGGTGTCCAAACTCGAAGCCGATCCTGAGCTCTCCCATCTGACAGCGAGGGAGGACGTCTGGAATCCACTCGACGACAAACGGAGCCGCCTCCTTCTGATCCGGCGAGCCCGGTCCTGCAGGGGGGGAAAATAAGAAGCGTGAGGTGAAACGTATAAACACAGCCGTGCAGATTCACTCCTCTGCGGCTTAAAAACACACACCCACCGACTTTGAGGAAGGTGCGGAGCTCCATCGGCCGTATGGCCTGCGGTCGATCCGTCCTGTAGCCGTCGGGTAGCTCAGGTTCAGGCAGCGGGTCGGGGCAGTGGAAACGAGAATAAGAGCCGTCTGCGTTTTTTACAAAACTCTGAGAGAGCTCCAGAGGCAACTGATGGACAGACAGAGAGGAAATATACTACGATTGATTTCATACTTCCAGTGTCAATCATAAAAACTAAAATCAGCCGTCTATCGTCTTAGGCCCCCGTGTTCACGTAGCGTTTTTTTCTCAATCAATTGTTTCCAATGAGGAGAGAGCGTTTGCAGCAACTTCAAAAAAAGTGCAGCGACATGAGTTTCTTTTCTGAGCGCTCTGCCTTTTTTGTGCGGCCGCTCGAATGCTCATGTTGAAAATCTTTTAACTTTTTTAGAAAGGCGCTGTAGACCTCACTGGCGCTCTTTTCCAAATGTTTAATATTCCCCGTATTCATCCTCCTCGCTCTGCGTCTGATAAACGGGAAATAAACGATCTCAAATATAAAACATGCAGTAAAAGTAACGGAGCAGTGTCGCTCATACAGCGAGCATTATCAACAGACTGTTGTCATGGAGACAGGACGGACTTTTCATCTCAGTGCACAAATGCTGCATAAACTTTTCTGCCCGGAAAGAAGCGCTCGGGGGTCACAGAGCCTGAGACGCGTCACATCCTCTGATTGGAGGGAGCGTTTACCTCTGGGGTGTCAAAGATTCTTTTGACCTGCATCAGATTGGTGATGTGCCAGGTGTACTTGGAGAAGGAGCCGAACGGGAGTCCATCGTTTCTCACAAAAGCTAAAATCAACACAGAGAGAGAGAGAGAGAGAGAGAGAGAGAGAGAGAGAGAGAGAGAGAGAGAGAGAGAGAGAGAGAGAGAGAGACAGAGAGAGAGAGAGACAGAGAGAGAGAGAGAGAGAGAGAGAGAGAGAGAGAGAGAGACAGAGAGACAGAGAGAGAGAGAGAGAGACAGAGAGAGAGAGAGTGAGAGAGAGAGAGAGAGAGAGAGAGACAGAGAGAGAGAGAGTGAGAGAGAGAGAGAGAGAGAGAGAGAGAGAGGGTTTACACTCTGAGACTCTGAGCATTCATTAAAAGACGAGAGGAGCATCTAACACGACGTTAAATTAAACATTCCTACCGTTAAATACGGAATACTTCATTTGGTTTTTGATTTAATTTGATTATTGTTTGATGCCCAGAACAAACAGGCTTCCATGACGTCGTTATTAATACAAAGAGAGCGGAAATCAAAAGGAGACACTGAATGATAACAACACTAAGCAAACATGGCCGACTTATACACACTGGAATGAAACCAAAAACTGCATCCTGTCGTCACCAGAACTCCAAAACATTCAAAGGCTTTATATGTAACACCTGAGTCCCACTGTCTGTGATGTTTTCAGAGTTTTCAGAGTCCTATCTTCACTTTGTTTACATCGCCGGGACGGCCGGCTGACTCCTCCCCTCGTGTATAAAAGTTGTTTAATTGAGGGACTAGAGAAAAGAAGAATAACATACTGTACTCACTGCTTAACTGTGTTTCTAGATCACGCTCATTTCAGGTAAATTTACATGCAGTGTGAAGATACCAGCATAATAAAGATCGCTAGCATTAGCATGCTAACACAACAATGCAGCGCAAGTTGTTTTGGTTTCATGCTGGTGCTCAAGGGCGACATCTGCTGGATCAAAAAATCACATATAAAGCCTTTAACTCATAAAGAAGGACTTATTTTTTAGGAGTGGATACAATTCAGTGATTGGAATATTGCGGACATCGACATAGCGGCAAATCAGAGAAAATATAAACATAGTGAAGCCAAACGCAGCTCGCTCCACCTTGTGTTGTCTTTTACCCGTGGACGTGGAGTTGGTTCTGCTTCCTGTTGGACAGGCAGGTGACAAACACCAGCGGTTAGCTTGTGCTAGCGTGCGTTAGTGTTTAAAGTTTTCCAACCTGTTGTGAAGTTGGGCAGTCTCTTCTTCTTGGAGCCCGTGGACAGACGATGCTGCAGAGCGTTGAAGAACTCCTGAGGGACGTGGAACACCAGAGGTTCTGGTTTCCCTGAGTGAAAAAAAACAAAACGTTCTCTAACCCTCATGCATCATTATGGACATTTTTGTCCATTTGGTCAAATGTTTCCTCTTCATCTGGTCATCATTTTGTCTGTGTTAGTGCATATGGCACCATTTTTGTAAGAAAGTCTCTCTCTTCACACAATTTAAAGAGTTAAATTCCTAAAAATGATTGAATGTTTGGTAGTTTTGAGCAGGGCTGGAGTTGTTTAAGAGATTTATGCAGAAAAAAGTAGAAAAAAATATCAATCTGTTCTATTTTTATAGCAGTTTTTGTAAATTGGACATTTCCGCCCTCCAATGTCCAAACAGGGAACTACATTTTAAATCTGATGCTACACAAAAACTAACAATGTATCAAAGTCAATATTTTGGATAATCTTTGACATATACAAGACTGATTTAAAAAAAAATCCCCCAGCCACCAAATATTTGTTTTATGGAAAATAACTAATTTTTATGTTTTTATTTTCATAAATAACAACAGTGACATCAAGTAATCAAACTGGCATTTAAAGGGTTAAATTCCTAAAAATGATTGAATGTTTGTTAGTTTTGAGCAGGGCTGAAGTTGTTTAAGAGATTTATGCAGAAAAAAGTAGAAAGAAATAACAATCTATTCAATTTTTATTGCAGTTTTTTGGAAGTGGACATTTTGGTCCTTAATGACTTAATGTGAGAAACAAGCAACCAGAACAAGTCTTCCTTTAGAGACGATCAGCTGTGAGAAGCATCTCTTCAAGTAAATTTTGTAAAAATGTCCAATTCTAGATCGGGGAGGATGCGACTCAATGGGGAGCAGTAAAAATAATCATAGTGCATTGAATCAGGCCACGACTTCATGATGGTTGTGGGGAGGCACCTACTTTGTAAAAATGATTCCCATCTCATAAAGTGTAGTTAGCTTCATCGTTACCATCAAACTGGTAGTGCATAGTCTGGTGGATCCTCTCTGTGACACTGGCCAGCCACTGGTGGAAACCCATCGCCACTGTACGTTCATCCACAACCTGTGTACTCCCTGAGACACACACAAACACACACACAGTCATTCATTACCTGCTTTGTTTCTAAGCGGACCACCCACAAGTCAGATATTCAGCCTCATGAGACTCCGAGCTCGAGTCTGTCACATGTTGTTAAAAAGGAAATGTTAAAATGTTTAAATGTGCTCGGTGTGACCGCTGCAGTGCGGCCGCTCTTTTCAACAGCGGACGAGGATTAGTGCAGCGGGATTAAGACAGAGGAATGATAAAGATAGAGACAGATGTCTGAGACGATGTAAGGTTATTTGATGGACAGATCTAAGCAGCAGTAAGATGAAAAGGCAGGGAGCGAGGGGGGGGGCAGCAGGGGGGGCAAGCACCTTGAGCCTTCAGCCCACCAGCACCGGGGGCTTTCCGCTGACCGGCTCTCTTTAGACCGCAGGCGGACACTCCCTCTTTTCCGACCCAAGAGGGAGAGGTCGCTGAGGGGGGGAGTGAAGAAACAGCAGGGTGGGAAAGATAAAGATAGAAAGAGAAGGGACGGACAAATGAAAGATTCAGAGAACGTGTGCTTCTGGAGAATCATCCTGCATTACTCAGAGGTGAATGTAATAAATCTGTTTGAGGAGGAGGAGGAGGACGAGGAGGAGGATACCTGAGAGGGATTCATCCACCCGCAGTTTCTTTGTTTTATGATGAGGGTTGACGGTCTCAGCCTGCAGCAGAGGCTTCTCACTGGGACTGATCACTCTGCTCGGAGCGCTCTGCTGAACGCCTGAGAGGAGAGGTGGGAGGAAGTCGTTTAGAAAAAGTACATGAAAGGAATAGTCTGACATTTTAAGACACGCAGTTTCATCATAGACCGTATATAAACATGGACGTCGCCTCAGTAACGTTTCGACCATTTGTTTCTGAAGAAGACCACGTAGCATCCTGCGGTGTTGAAAAATGAAGCTGATGCTGCAGTTCCTGGAGTGTCCACTAGAGGCTGGCTATAGAAGAACAGGAAGTCACATACACACCCATTCAAAAAGTCTGTTTTTACAGCAGAGATGAACATGTTTACAGCCTGGTTCAAAAAACCAAATAGGTGTGATTAGCTCATGTCTGGATGGACACACACTGTACGGGGGGTGAATGTTTTGATGACTCATCAGTTTTGATTTGATGAAGGATAAGAGTTATTCACAATAAGGCGTGTAGCTGACCTGATTGACAGGTGGGCGCGGTGTAACGGTTTGTCAGGAGGTTTAAAACCCGCCTCAGCTCCAGCTCTCAGCCTGTCGTTAGGTTGACTGAAAGTTAGACTGAGACAGCATTTCCAGCATGGAGACCGCCATCGATGATAACTTCTTACAGACTATGCTTCCTACACACATCCACTCACATAGGAGGGAATTGAGCGTGGAAGACGCAGTTTTGAGAAAGAACCGAAGAAAGACTGAATGTAAGATGGACTAAACCAGGGATGTCCAAAGTGCGGCCCGAGGGCCATTTGCGGCCCTTGAAGGGATTTTCTGCGGCCCGTGACTTCAAATGAAGAATCAGAAGATTTTGTCCCGAGGCCTCGATTAAGATCGGCACATTATCTTATTTTTATTTTTCATATTAACAAGGGCTGAACAATATTCCTAAAATAGAAAATGTTCAGTCACATGTATGTTGTTGTTGTTTTAAATCTACAGCTTTTACTATTTTCCACATTTATTTGTAAACTATGAAAAAAAACTCATGCAAAGTTTTTGTAAACAAGCGGACTGTTGTTTAACCATTTAATGACCTGAGCTAAATGCAGAAAGCTTTTCCAAAAACATGAACCACGTTACAGACTTGATTCTGAGGAAAAAAACAAATAAAGTAGAACGAAGAAATCTAAATATTTGATTTCCTTTATTAAAGGGTTTCTTTAGCGAGCCTTTTGATTCTGATCTACAAAGCCTGACTACGTTCTCAACTATATTTTAAAAAACAACCTGTGGCCCGCGAGCGATTCTAACACGACAATTTTGGCCCGCAAGAAAAAAAGTTTGGACACCACTGAGTCTAAAGCAAAAGCCTCCTGGGAGTGAAGCCAGAACATTTAGAGCTCCCCCTAGTGGCTGGCTGCCCCACCTTCCCCTCGCTGACAACAGATGGAACATGGGTGAAACTATAAAATCTAAATACAAGTCGGACCCGGTATCATCATGACAGTAAGTTGTGTTCAAGTCGGCTCGTTTTCTGAGAAGTTTCTCTTTAATTACTGGTCGTTGATTGATGCTATGAGACTGTTTTAAACGGCATGATTGACAGCTCAGTCGACGAATGCAGCTTCAGTAAAGTAGAAACAGGAAGAAGAATTTTTTATTGGTAAGTTAAATGTGTGTTTTCGTTTAGTGGGAAGCTGCCTGACATCTGGAAGATATCTGGTTGAGTAAAGTGACTTAATTGCTTTTTTATTTAATGAAAAAATCTACTGCATAAAAAAAACAAAACACCAAAAAATGTCAAAGTAGTTCATTGAGACTCAGCTTACTGTACCATTCGGGGTGTAGTTGATGAACGCAGCAAACTCTGACGCCAGTGTCTCGTCGCTTGCAAAGGCGCACACACAGGCGTGGAAGTGAAGGCAGGGCTGTGATGTCACAGAGCCGAGAGGCGGATGAGAGTTGGCGCCGTCCGCACCGGGTTTACTTCTTCTGCTGCTGCCGCCGCCGCCGCTCACCTGACAGGCGCAGTGAAAGAGTCCATGCTGCTGCTGCTGCTTATCTCTGCTCCGCCTCTCGCTCTTTGAAACCTCCGACAGCCCTCCCGCACACACGGTGAGATGCAGCAGCCCCAAAGGATGCTGGGAGTCCGTGTGGCACTTCACCACCAGGGTGTCCTTTGCGACGCGCTGCACCAGGGGTCCCGGAGACTCCGTGGCCAGCCTCCAAAGCTCCTCCCGTTCCTGGATTGAGGCCTGCAGCCCCTCCAGGACGGAGCTCTTCAAGGTGAGCGGCGCGGCGCGGCTCTGACACTCTATCGCTTGCTTTATGTGAACGCAGAGGCTGTCCGAGGACTGTTTTGCACCCGCAGCCGCCGACTCTGTATCGCCATGATTTGACCGTTGACCCTGCCTGCAAGAAGGCAGAAAACAGCGACCTAGATTGATGCGGGTCAGCAGGGTCGCGCCGTCGCCTGTAGCTATTGCGGTATCAGTGGGGACGAGTTCCACAAAGCCCAGCTGTGTCGCTGTGGCTCCTCTTCCTCTGTGACACACTGAAAACACCTGCACACCTCCACCTGAGGCGCCCGCAAGGCCTCCCCGCCCCCGCACGCTCCTTACCCCCTCTCTCCTCACTGTCTATTATCACCTTCACCACCTCCACCGCACACTTCTTGCTGCTCCTGCCCGTGGCGGAGGCATTCCTGAGAGATATCCCGCAGGCCTTATTCTTGCAGCTGAGCCCACGGGTGCCGTTGTAGACGCCACACTGGGGGCACTTGCGGATGCCCCGCAAGGTCGCCCTGCCCAGGTTAGAGAGGAAGGCGGGAGTGTTGGACGGTGTCTTTCTGCTGCTGTCTTTCTGTTTAGCCGCCAGGTTAGCGGGGGCGGTGGAAGTCTGAGGGGCGGACGACGAGGGTGGTCTGAGGGTGGAGGGCGAGGAGGACACTGTCACTTCAGTTTCCATGTTGGGAAATATTAAAAGTTGGGAAACCTTAAAAAAAAAAAATTTTAAAAATAAAAAAAGGGGGAAACAAGAATATCAGTGAAAGTAACAGAGATAAAAATATCTTTATTTATGATCACACAAAAGGAAACGAGCAGCACTAAACTTTATCAAACTGCTTTTACCTTCTAAGTTTTAACAACAGTTAAGAAGCTTATTAACAGTTAACATGCTTTGTAACAGCCTCCTTTTCTAAATGTATAATGTATCAATATAAAAAGCGTCAACACACGGTTATAAACACACCACTGGCTTTCTAACAACCTCTCTGTGTGTGTTCATCGCATCTGATTTTCAAACTACCTGCGTTCCGCTTCTGTTTGGTCAAACTTAGCTCAGCTCTGGCCTCCAAAACCGCCTCGACCGTCGCCATTCCTCCTTACATCCCGACAGCCGCATTGCGCCTGTAACGACACTCGTGATTGGTCGGAGGCGATCACGTGGGGGCGGAGGGGGGAAAAAAAGGCGGGGGGGTCGGCCGCTACGGGCGCGCTGAATCATGGGAGATGTAGTCAGAGTGCAAAGGCCGCGAAATGCTCGAGCAGTAAGTGAGCTAGCAGGAGTTTTCTTGTCAGTTTGGTAATTTTAAAAGCACATAACCAAGTGATATCATTATGAATACATTTCTATACTTTGTTTATGAAAATTCATATACTTTTAATATATATTGTCACAAGAGGCTATTTTTTTCTATTGAAAGGAGTATCTTTGGTCACCTTTAATTTTAGAAAAAGTCAAATTTAGCTGTAAAACTGACTGAATTAACCTTCTTAATACTCCAGAATTGGTCATTATCAAGTAGAAAATGCCCAAATACAATACGCTCATAGCAGTAAGCCCATTAAAGATTGCGAGCAAACGACTGCACAAAATTAAAATGTGCAATAAAATAAACCATCATTGCAAACCTTCCTGTTGGAATGAAAGTGTCTCTGAGGTTTACATAATTTGTTTTCTTTCAGTGTTTTAAGTACTTAAAGATGTGACTTCTTTCACAAAAAAAACGAAAAAACCGAAAGAATGAAGCCAATAAAACATGTCACTATTCAATTGTGTCTAATTGCTGCTCTCCTTCTCATATATCGTAATAAAGTAAATTTTTGTAGGTTTTTCACTATTGGTTGGACAAAATAAAACATTTAAAGACTAAAATTGGTTGAAATGTTATCCTCAGTAAGGTTAATGTGATGTCACAGAACTCAGTTAAAGAATAGGAAAGTAAAAATAAAATATAAGCTGTTCAAAATCAAGGGCTCTCAGCATTGATGCATTATTATGTTATTTTGTCCCTTCAGGCTCTCCGTAGATAGTGGTCCTCAGTGTCTCCCTGTAGTCTCAGTGATTTAAAAGAAGGACACTGCTGCATCTTTGAATGTCTCATTTCACTTTAACAAACTCTCTCTTGATGAGTCCAAATACCCACCTTATGACATCACACACAACAAAACATGTTTCGCATCCCAAGTTGAAGACGATTATGACGTCAACTCGGAATGTCGGTCAGATATTTTTTTTTTCCTGAGTTGTTGCTCCGACTTGAGCAGGCCTTCATGGTCATTTTACAATTCGGAAACTCGTTTTTCCAGATGTGTCAGACAGCACCTTGAACTACAAATGATTTGAATTTGAATGTGTTGATTAAGAAGGAGGCGTTTCCCTTCTAATCACAGTGATGACGTGAGAAAGAAGCCCATCAGTGGTGGTCTTGATTTAAAATCTGGAGTCCGACACTGAGACGAAGTGGTCCCGAGCTCAGTTTTGTTCTCGAGTACTACAACACTTCTCTGGTCATGGATTAGAAGAAGATAGGATACAAACAGTGTGAATGGGAGCTGTTTTAAGCATCAGCAATTTAATGGGACAAAGCAAAAACTCAAACCATGTTACTGAAGCATCAACAGAACTTCCCTTGCCAAAAACATAGGTTGAACACATTCTTAGGCACCGCCTACTCTCGGATGACTTTTTGGTTAAATTAAAAGAAACTCACTGATAATAAGGCAACACAATGGATTTTTTTTCCCCAACTATATTAAAAATGATGGTGGCCACAGTGCAAAAAATCTGATCCTAGAAGGTTGTTTCTTAATCTATAAAAACAATCGTTATTTAGGATAACAACAGAATAACTTAAATTAGGTTATTACTCATCAATCGAAAGGCTTCTTCTTCTTCTCTGTGTGCATTACATAGCAATGCTGCTCGTCCTGTGGAAGAATCACACCTCGCACTTTCCTCGACTGTACACGGACCAGCACTGGACAGACAGGGATGCTACTGTCAAAACAGCCGTTTCTGGAAACCATTACCCCGACCAGAAGCAAGTAACACGTTGTCTTTATACAGATTCAGTACAATTGAACAGACTGTCACAGAAAACAGAGTTCCAAAAGCAAATTACAAAAACAAAGTGGAATGCAAAAACATAAAAAAAAAATCCCTAGTATTTGAAGTTTTTTTTTGAAAGATAACTTTTAAGTATTTGTGCAATATTGTCTGCCTGTAAGTAAGATAAGCGTGGCAGTAAATCCCTGCAATCGACTTGAGATATTGAAAATCTAATTTAAAAAATAATGTTGACAGTTGACAGCCACTTTTATAAACAAACAGAAGGTGAAACATGATTCGATGGTGTCACTGCAACGTTTTCTTTGTAAGACAGTCCCGAAAATTAAACACAAAAAGGCAAAAAAAAAAAAACAAGCTCTTTATACAATGTCAGCATTTTGAGAGAATAATAATAATGACAGCAAAAGAAAAATTGAAGTAGTCCTTTCAGTTTTTCATGGGGGAGATGAATCAGGACGTTGTGTTTGTGTGTAAAAAGCATCAGAGTTCATGCACACACGCAAGCACACACACATCATTTCTTATTCACAGATTGAATCCAGTCCATTCGGTCCGTTCCAGAAGATGAATCGAAGAAGGAGCGCAGAGATTTACCTTTTTATTTTATGGCGTCCACTTTCCCTCTAAAACCTGCCTCATCTGGACTCAGTGATTTCCTACGTTTCACAGAATGACCTCACAACACCCTGAGAACTTGCTCGGACTATTTTTAACTTTTTTTGTTTTGTTTTATTATTTAGGAAAAATTAAAATCGCACCCCCTTGCTCGCTCCACACATTACGATGGACTTTCTGCGGCAAAAATGGTGACCCTCATCTCCCTGTATGATTGTTAAACATTGGTATAAAATTCTGCCCTTGCTCTTTGGCTCTGAGGGGCTGAAAAAAAAAAAAAAAAAAAAAAAGTGTTTTATTATAGATTTAATCATTGGACACTTCCTTTTCTTCTAAACTAATATGTGGCTGTGCTAGAAATATCATGACACGGTTGTATATTTTACATTTGGCCAGTTATACGGAGGCAGTACAAAAATACGCCAAAGAATAAAATGGGCCCAGGAATGCAAGGTGCATTAGCAATAGCTGTTATTAATAGTGTGTAATTGTTCTGGAGTGAATTGATTTCTGTACACTTGCAGAGTTTGGGCAGTGGGCTAGGTTATGGGCTGGTGGAGGTTGATAAAAAAATGGCATACCAGCCTCGCTAACAGAATAACTGTGTGTGGTAACAGAGACAGCACATCTAATGCGCTCCTTCCCCCCCCCCCCCCCCCCAGCAGAGTGTCATCCACGCGGCCTCAGAGGCTCAGAGACGGCTACTTGGATCACTGATCAGTGGGTGTGGAAGCCGGCGGTGCTCATGCCGGCCTGGTTGGTTAGAACCGTCCCGTTGACCCCCTGTCCGGATTCCACCATGCCCCCGTTGCTCACCGCGCCAACACCCGTCCATCCGGCTCCAGCGTGTAAATGACTGCAACAGCGAGCAGAGAGAATACCGTTAGAAAGACGGAGTCGAATGAACATGCAAGTCTTTGAACACATCAGTTTCCAAGTTTTTCTTTCAAAGTTATTTTTTAGGCTTTTCTGCCTCGATCAGATAGGACAGCTGACAAGAGACAGGAAGTGTTGGGAGGAGAGAGCGGGGGGGACACGCATTCCGATTTAAACCCAAAGCCGCTGCAACGAAGACCCTAGCCTCTGTACATGGGGCGTGCCGCATCACTGCTAGCCCATCTGCTCTAGAATTGCAATTTCTCTGGTGTCGTATTTTAGAGATAATTTTTACGTTTTTCTTTGTTGGCCGTTTTGAATGTTTGACCACGGCTGCACCATCATAGTGCCTATCATCCTATTGGTGTGTGTGTGTGTGTGTGTGTGTGTGTATTAACAAATTTATAAATATGGGTGTGAGGCACATATCTTTAAAAACTGTCATCTGAAGAAGACCTGCGATGGAAACGTTTAAATAAAATTAATTTTTCCAAGTCCCTACAGGCTGAGCTACTCCCGTGTGGAAAATCTAAAAATATTTTGTGGATGTTCGAAAGGTCAAAAAGCTCCAGCAATACGACCTGCGGCATTCATCAGGGAACGCGCGGGACTAATAAAGTTGGATCTTCAATTTAGGCTTTTACTGTAGCGGGATATTGTGTCCCGTTTAGAGTGTCAGCAATCAAAGCAACAAGAAGAGGAATAGACCAACATGTTCAGGGGGAGGGGGGAAATGATTTCCAGGTGCAGCATTCTGAAAGTCTGATGAGAGAGCAGAGAAGATTTCAGAACTCACTTGTAGCCCTGCTGATCCCAGGTCTGCCCGTAGACTCCGTAGCTGGGCACCTGCCATCCATTGGGCACATACTGACCAATCTGCTGCGTGTTGCTGTACCACTGACCCCACTGACTGTAGGGCTGCGCCGCAAAGCTCACTGTGTTCTGCTGACATACGGAGGAATATTTTAGGAGGCACAGGGCTCACATTGCACCAAGAATGTAGAGAAGCAGATTAAGGATCCTGCACCGTCACAACACCACTGAACAAGTAGCAAAGGATGATAATACACACACAACACACATTTTCTTTATTAAAGGAAGAATGTGCGACATCTTTCAAATAAATATATCATAAATCCAGTCTCTCCTGTGTAAATGTGTCTCTGAGTCCTGACTGTCTACAATGAGGGAGAAGCTTGAGTCCCGCTGGCTGTGTTGTTGTCAGAGCCGTGTTTACATGGACTAAAGAGCACTAACATTAGCATGCTAACACACTGCAGCTTGAGCTAAAGACAATTTTGTCCGCTGCTTGTGCTTAATGATGCATTCTAATTCATAACTCCCTGGAGAGAACACGAGTGGAGGGGGGTTGGAGGTGTGTCTCTGGAGGAGAGGGGAGGCTTCAGTATGGAGGAGGCGTGGCCAAACAGCAGTTTGTTTTGGTTTCATGCTGGAGTTCAAGGGCAACATCTACTGGATCAAAAAAGTCGCACATTCTTCCTTTAAAATGAACACGGTCTAGGATAATTCTGGTACATACCTGTGGCATCTGTACCTGCTGGATAGGGCTAACCATGTCTGTTGTTTCCTTGCCCCAGTAACATTTCACCACATAGCCCTCTATGGATGTGCCATTGACGGAAACAATGGCATGTGCTGCTGCTTCATGGGAGTTAAACCTGCACACAGAAAAAAAAAACAAGCTTAATATCAGGAAATCCTGCACAAAGGTGAGGTTCAATGGCTGCTGGGATAAACAGAAAGTAGGCTTACCTCACAAATGAGTATCCTTTGTCTGGGAAAACTCGTATTTCCATTATTTGGCCAAAGGGGGAGAAGGTCTGTCTCATGGTTTGCTCTAAAGAAATCAAATAAACACCGTCATTATGTCATGTTTCATGTGTTGGCGTCGCTTTCTGATGGGCGTCTAACTCCTTGAAACAAACTTAAGGCTCACCTGTGAGGCCTGTTGTCACTCCGCCGCAGTACACGGTGCAGTTGCTCGGGCTGGACTGGTTGACAACCTCGTCGAAGGACAGCTGTTTGGAACTGGGAGCTGAATGGAAGGAAAAAGACGAGCATGTTGTGTTATAAAATAAATAAATAAATAAAAAAAGACTCAAGGCACGTCTGCCTCCCTCGGGCAGGAGTTTCTCAACCCGGAAACTGAACCCTCAAAAAGGAGAGTCAGGTTAGTTTTTCATTCCCCATTCTTGTTGTTGACAAAGTTGATATCAGAAGTCCCGCCCCTATTTGATTTTGACTGGTCGTTAGAGGGAGAAGAGACATCGGCCCCTTACAGACTGCTGTCCCGCAATAACGGCATCATTACGCCCTTGTTCTTCCATACTGCAGTTGTAACCACGTAATATTGGTGTCCCAGTGTGTTAATTTACATTACATTACGGCGTTGCAGACGAGAGGTGAGTCAGAGGGACAATGTGAGAGGCACGCACACACACACACACACACCCCAGGCATGCACAGACTCAGCCCTGTTCCAACATTTCATATCACCAGCTCATCCCCCCCAGTGCGCCTCCATCACTACCTCTGATGGCGGGTCAGGGGTGAAACAACGTCGCCTGATCATTCTACAAAGTTGCGTTATTTGCTGCACGTGAGGTGTGACAGGTTCCCAAGTATTCTGCCTTGAAAAGTTAAGTTCATAACTTGCCAAATGTATTACAGAAACCCGCTGACCGAGGGCGTTTTTTTGCACTTGAGCACTGAAAACGCTGAAATATAGAAAATCTAATCTGTGACTCGTTTTGTCGATTTAATTCCTCTGAACTTACTTTCATTTGAATTTTTGGGAGCAGGTTTCCTCGTGGCCCAGTTGGTCCGGATCTGCCTCCCTCCCAGCCACTGTCCTCCCATCTGCTGGATGGCGTTCTCTGCATCCTAAAAAGTATAGAACATGCAGATGTCACTGTAAGCGGTGTCATAAAGAGATGACAATCTGAACCTGCTTATGTTTTTTTCTCAGTCCTCTAACATGCAGGCATTTATTTGCACACTTACCCATTTGTTAAAGAAGGAGACAAAGCCATAGCCTTTAGATTTACCTGTGGCCATGTCTTTCACCACTCGACAATCCCTGCAGACAAACAGAACACCGGGTCAGAAATTCAGTTTATGATCAAATAGAAATATTCAACATTCAACTAGTAGTTTAACTAGTAGTAGTAAACTAGTTAGGTTTCTTTCCATTTATAATGTAAATGGTCATTTACAGTTTTTATGTGGAATGGAAAGTTTAATTTGTTGTGAGAGTATTTTTGAAGAATATGCATGACTGAGAATTTAAATAATATAAAGCTATTACTTTTAATTTAACTAACAACGTGCTCAGTAGAAAGAAATGGACTTTGGGCAACAGACAGACAAACATTGTGAGACAACAATTGACACATTTCACGATTAATAAAGTTAACAAATTATTAGATTTTTTAATTCACTTACGATATTTTTCCAAACGGGGCAAAAGCTGCTCTAATGTCGTCCGTGGTGATTTCAGGACTTAGATCTCCGACAAAGACATGAAAGTGACCTTTAAAAGAAAAACAGCATGTTGACGTGGTATTTCATAAACTTCAAAACAATCTATACTACGATAAGATTAAAGTTATCCAAATGTTTGCAGGAAAATCAGGCTTTGCTGCAAAGAAATGATCTACTCCTTAAACCAGTGGTGTCCAAACTTTTTTTCTTGCGGGCCAAAATTGTCGTGTTAGAATCGCTTGTGGGCCACAGGTTTTGTTTTTTAAAATATAGTTGATATAGTTTTCATAGTTTACAAAAAAATGTGGAAAATAGTAAAAGCTGTAGATTTAAAAAAACAACAACAACATGTTCCTGAACATTTTCTATTTTAGGAATATTGTTCATCCCTTGTTAACATGAAAAAGAAAAATAAGATAATGTGCCGATCTTAATCGAGGCCTCGGGCCAAAATCTTCTGATTCTTCATTTGAAGTCACGGGCCGCAGAAAATCCCCTCAAGGGCCGCAAATGGCCCTCGGGCAGCACTTTGGACATCCCTGCCTTAAACAATCAGGTAAGATTATTTGTTTAACTTAAGCTTTTACTTCTGAGTCACATGGACTGAAGCTTGCATAGTCCTGAACCTAGACAGAGGCCTACAAACACTGCCTGACCTGCACCTCCTCAAAAATGTAATTGAGCGTCAAAACAATGCAAACCACAAGCCCTGTGTGATTTGTCTGCACAGCAGCATCGTAATTTCTGCATTTACAGCATCACCGGTAACGCCGCAATATTCAAAATTCTGCAGAAGGAAAAGCGCTAGAAGGACAGAGCCAAGGAGAGGCTGAGTGAGGAAATCTAGAGATATCATCACCTCTTTGATTCTTCATCGCCACACTACAAAGACTACCAGATGGCAGCTAATTTGTGGAGACATTGGCATCGGGGTTCCTGAATTTAAATTATACTCGGATACATTAGCTCATCTGTAAACCTATTTCTCCCTGCCAGCCTCGATGCCATCTTTTTGTTATTGTTTTGTTTGAGAGCCGCCTGGTGGTAGTCTTTACATATTTTGCGTTTAAGAAGGTGATTTAAAAAATGGCTGAATATGCAATATTTCTTATCAGCTTACTCGATTTATCGTCAGAATAATCGAAAGATCCCTCAAAGAATCTCTCACGTTTAGACCAAGAATTAGTACTCACTGCTTGTGTCTTTCTTTTGGCTGGTTGGGGTCGTGGCCCAGTTAACCTTCACCTCCTGCAAGAGAGACAGACGTCGAGAACGAGGGAAGAGGAGAACAGGTGAGAATGGACGTGATGTTTGCAGAGGAAAGGAAGGTGCTTTCTCTTTGATTAGAGGTTTCTGTCACACACCACTTTTTACTTATTCTGTGATTGAGAACTTTTTTTTTTTTTTTTTTTTTTAAATAAGGTGGTCACTGTATGCCACACGTTGGTTCCTAAACCATCACTACATCAATCGTTATTATCTATGTTTACAAACCTCTGTAATCATTAAATACACAGTGAAATACAGTGGAGAATATTATGGGATATCACCTTCATAATCAGGAACATTTCACTCTCACTCTAGTAAAAAATTTGGAGAAAAATTGTAGGAAGTAAGGTCCAAATAACAAGGGACTTACAAACAAGTGATTTTTACGAACTTGTTATACTCCTCAAATGGTCCTTCAATACCTGTTGAGGATAAAATATTTTCAACTGAATGTATTTCTCGTGAAGTTGCTCTTATGTGGGTTCTACGTGGACATAAGTTTGCAGAAGACATGGCAGTAAAGACGTAAGGGGCACAGAAGAGCATCGATTAAAGTAAAGGTTATTACTATTATTATTAAACACATCATTAAAAACAGCAGGACCACGTTAAAGCATCTCATACACACGGATGGAAAACTCACTTATAACAGAGACAGCATGACGTATGAAGGGAAAAAAACAAACAGCTCTTTCTGTACATCCGAGTGACTATGACTTGTAAGATATGAGTGTATTCATATGCATGTCATGATTTGCACATACAAGACCTGCTAATGACCTTGCCTTTAACCTCGCCATGTCCAGCGTTTGTTGTGAACGTGTGCTCTGCAGAAAGTTTGGATTTAAAAACTGTCAAATTGTGAAGGGTCAACGAGGAAATGAGGATACTGTCTGTGTTTACTTCTGATTGGTTTTAATGGGCGTTTCTTATGTTTCATTTGAGGTTGCGCCGCCCTTAAAATCATAAATTTTAAGACTTTTTAAAAGAGTCCGACCGAGAAATCAGTTAGGGGTTAATATTGGCCAATATTGGCATTTCAAGAGGCTGATTTTATCCGATATTACTAGAGTTATTCACCAGTCAAACAGCATTTCAATTGAGTTTCATTGTATTACACTAGCAGTTCTCTGTCACCAGCAGGGGGCGCCATTTGGATTACAACAAGTAGCATCACCCTCCAGAGTGTCGAGCGGTGACACATGTACATGCGCAGTTACTTTCCAGTTGAGTGGCCATCTTGGCTTCGTTATAAATCTTTTCCAAAAGTGTTTGATAACTGCATTTAAGGGATCAATCTATCGCTACAGATCTCAGGCAGATATCTCTGAATCGGATGTGCATACCGCTGTCCTTAAGTTACTACAGTTGGGGGGGGGGGGGGGGGGGGGAGCCAAACGCGCTACAGCAATGTCGTATTTTAGTGATCATGTCTGTCATGTTTCTGCTGAATCAGGTTAATATCAAGAGGGAGCAAACAAAAAGGAAATCAATAAAGTTAACTTTTCAAATGTAAGCATGTTTAATGAACTCATAACAACACAGTGAGGTTATAGAGGTCTGTGTCTGGTGCCCCCCCCCCCCTTCCTCGTCCTGGTCATTTCAGATTGTGCACAGAATAATAATGTGCACAAGGGAATAAAACACATTAAGTGGAGCGGAGCAGGAAGGTACGGTTCAGTAAGAAACAAGATTTTCCAGCTGCTTCATGTTGTCACTGCCCACCCAAGCCTTGGCCCGTAAGACTCACCCAGGAGATATAGATGCTTACCTTACCCAGAATTTTCCGACCATTCATGGCTGCGATTGTGGCAGTGGCATGTCTATGCTCATAGAACTCCACAAAGCAGTACGGATCATGACCTGCCGTCTGTAGGGGGGAAAAAACAAAACACCAACATTTAAATTAAACTAAAATCATGAATAGTTTCATAATTTGTCTTTTTAACAAATTACACATTTAAAAAAAAGTATATCAGTGCCTTTAAGTTGTCTTTAAAGGAGCAATATATAACTTGGAGACCTAGTGTTTAAAATGAGTACTGCAGTCTAAATCATCAAAACATCATAGAGAGCTGCCCCCCCCCTCCTCTCTAGAGTGGATGCTCACTCAGGTCACCATGTGGTGGGCTCTGAAGCTTCAGTGTTTATCCAGCTCTGCATGGGTCTGTAAACCTTTCTGTGTTCTAACCTCTCTCCATTTTTCAAAAGCATCTCCAATATTGATCCTAGTTTGAGCACGTTTCTGCTCGTGGAGCTTATTAGAAACATGCAGAGGCTTTTTAGGTCGGGTACAATCACTTCTATCTGAACCACTTCTCTTGACCGCTTCCATCGCTGCAACACCTGTTGACCTGATAACTGCTCTCATATCTGGCAAACCGAGGGGCGTCCAAAACGGCCGTGTGGGGGCGTGTCTTAAGAGCGCCTACCTTCTCTGGTCCAAACAAATCCAGAGCATTCAGGAGCAGAATCTAAAGTTAGAAGGAGGACATACTGGCTGCTGCATTGTTGTCAGAGAAGCCAGCACTTCAACATAGCATGTTTCCTTAATGATCAGAGAGTAAGATACCTTTATCATCTCACTCTCTACACATCTTCCTGATTGCTCCCTTTATTGTCTCCTCCTTCTGAGAATAATGCACAAATGCAAAAAACAGGGAGTATAAATCCTGCTTTTGGTTTTAGCTGGAGCTTAACCAAACACAAAGGAGGATATGTAAAATTAACCTTGAACACATTTAAGACGGTGAGATCTGTATGCTGATATGCAGCAATAAACCAAGGGGGGGAAAAAGGAATATAATACGTGTTGTAGGTCTTCATCTCTGCCGTTGAAGATCAACACAAATGTAATAATATAGGATTTGGACTCATATAGAAGTCCAGATATTAAAACTGCTCGATACCTCTCGGGCAACTGCAACACATAACCAAACTCTTATATTGAGTCTGTTTGTTTTTCAGACATGTCTCTGCATTTATATTAAACAGATAGTTGAAGTGTGACAGGAAAGGCTGGAGAGAGAGAGCTGGGGATGAGAGAGAGGGGGGGGGGGTGTCAGGGAGCAGGGGGCCATCATAATTTATTTATCGACTCTCACAGGAGCGTCTACTCGCTGATAGGTTCAGGACAAGGTGTAGGTTCATCTTTGTACGTTAGATTAAGGAGACTGGTAGATTAGCAGCGTTTATTTCTCAAAAGGAGAACATTTTAATATGTTAATTAAAGAGCAGATGTGCATGCTGAAGCAGACAATTAAAATGCAATTTGATTTCAGGAGGATTTATGTCACTGTGAACATAACACAAGGCTGGACAATAACACAAGTCATTGGCAAACCAAAAAGAGAGAGGGGGTGAAAAGGGAACCAAATGAGAAACCAAGGGGTCGGAGGAAATGTTTTTTGTGGATAATCAGAAGATAAGTTTTGCAAGACATCGGCAAAAGGGTTACGATGAAACCAAAAGTGTCTCTTCAAGAGCAGGAGGGGAAAACAGTCTTTTAAAAAATGGCAAATCGGTACTCACATCTACTATCATTTTACAGCTCTTGCAGGGTCCGATCTGGCCAAACAACTCCAAGATCAGGGCCTCTGTCACGTCCCGGGACAGATTCCCAACATACCTGAAACCAATGCAGAGAAGTAACAATTACAAGTTTGTGATGCAAGTGGAAAATCTCTTTTCCTCTAACTACAATTAACCATGATGCTGATTAAACCATGTAGATTGTTGCCCTTTACGTGAAGGCTGCGCAAATATTCACAATTGTATCGTTTTGTCATCATTGCGACGTGACCCGTCGTGAAAGTCTGAATTTACCACGATCATTTTTTTTTTCAACTTTAATGCAGTCAAGCAGAGCTTCCTTCCTCGTTGAATGGAGGCCTGAGGAGGACAATGTTCATGCTTTGAAATTACTCTGATGAGGTTAGGTGAAGCTAAAGCTAACTATAGCTACCCGAGGATGTTTACAAGTGCCAGGAAAAAGTGTTTGGGTATTGATTTTGCATTCAGGATGGAGATATTTCAAAAACAGGTGGTGTTTAAAAAAAAAAAAAAAAAAAAAAAGTCAACAGCTGATATCCGTAAAAACTGACTTAAGCATTATTCATCACCATTTACATCGTTATCCCGCATTGCATATTTTTCTCATATCGTGCCGGCCTATTTTACGTAAGTGCAAGTGAAGTCTATCTATTTTGATCATTGTGGGGGTAAGGGGGGGGGGGGGTCTGCTCTCTCTTGGTCCTTTCAGAAAGGTAATGGTGCAACAGCTTCCTCATATTCCTTAATTATGTTTTGTTTAAATAGCCACCCACTCTTGCCACAATAAATGGGTTTGACTATCTAGTAATAATAGGATTTTTCTTTTCCACTTTCCAGCACTGTTATAAGGTTAGAATTGTCATTTACAAAAATAATGGTAAAATCCATATTTACATAACCTGTGTGACAATGCAGCCCCCTCTTTCCTACGCCGCAAAGACAGAAATCAGCACAAAGCAATATGCAGATTTCCACCTTCAGGATTTACAGTCAATGCAAATGTCTCCAGGTTATAAAATCTCATCGTCAAACGAGTGCTCAGTCTGTATCTAATGAGCATCTCTGCAGCCAAACACTGAGTGCATCCAGGGACAACCAACATTATTGAAATCTCAGCTATTGACCTTGTCTTACATCACTGCCAGCTTTAAATAGATTTAAGTTAATCTTACCCTGGTAACAGAAATAACCCCGCATTCAAAAAACCAAATGAACACCGGTAGAAACATGTGGTAACACCTCCTGCGTCTTTAGGCAACACAACTATCCGGACTCGTTTATCAAAAGGCCTAAAAGAAATAATTATTGCATCGCTTAGGAAACGACGCGGAGGTGACGTTTCACCAAACTCCATTGAAACATCGCCTGGTTCAATGTTTTCCTCCATATTATTAAGACGTAGTTGCAGTTTAGAGAAGTATCTTGCAAACGTGGACACAATCTCTAAGCTATTCTTTCATTCGGCTTCAGTTCATTTAATGTTAACCCAACTAAATCAACAGATTTCCCCAGATGAAAACGTGTTCCGACGCTTTAACTTCACGATGTTTCTGGAATCGGCTTGCTAGCGTTAATGAATGTGCAGAATTTACCGGAGGTTGTTTAAGCCATTAAAACATGTTTATAATGAACCTGAACAGGATTATTGTAAGCGAAAAATCCGACACGTCATGTTTATGTATACTAACTTTGCGGTCACGTCTCTGCACACAAGTAAAACGACGTTTTTATGGAGAATACGCGGCGCCTGGACGCTAGCTACGTGAGCGGCTAGCTGGCTAGGCTAACGGTAACGCAGACACACACTTACAGGGTTTTTGGCTGGTCATCGTCCATTTTGTTGAACTTGCTGGCCGAGAACAAGTCGCAACCCTGAGAGCAAATCCACGACTGTCGCGGGCAGTTGCCTGTGACCCCCTCAAAGTGTTTTATTGCGCAGTATGAAATGATTTGCCGCCGCTGTTAGCTCCAGAGTGAACAATGGGTAGCTGACAAAGATGGCGGAGCGACCGGAGCCTTTACGAAACACGCATGCGCAGTAGATCGGCCTTCAGGCCACTTTAAGGCATGTTACAAAAATACTGAAGTGAAAGTCACATTAGTGTAAATATCACAGATTTAAAAACATTATTCTGAGTTTTCCAAAGAGTAAAGTAAACGTGTGCAGACACTATGCTTTTAAAGTATTCTGTTTTTAATGTGTTTTTCTGGTTTTTAGTAATTCATCTAACTTATTTTACAGTCTCATTTTAATGCACTGTTTAAGATTGAAGATTTACTTTTATTGATTCCGCAAGGCGAAATTTCAGTTTTTACACTCTGTAAGTCATGAACACACACAGGCTGAAACACACACATGCAGAAACAGAATCCTATGGACATGCACTAATGGAAAGAGTGATGGCTCTGTCCACAGCAGGCGCCACTGAGCTGATGGTGGGGAGTGGATTTGGTGCCTTGCTCAGGAGCACCTCAGCAGTGCTCAGGAGGTGATCTGGCACCTCTCCAGCTACCAGACCAACTTCCATGCTTGGACTGCACCGGGACTCAAACCGGCGACCCTCCGGTTCCCAACCAAAGTCTCTACAAGAGGTAGGGGTAGAGCTGGTAGAGGAAGAGTGAGAGGTAGAGCTGGTAGAGGAAGAGTGAGAGGTAGAGGTAGAGCTGGTAGAGGAAGAGTGAGAGGTAGGGGTAGAGCTGGTAGAGGAAGAGTGAGAGGTAGAGCTGGTAGAGGAAGAGTGAGAGGTAGAGGTAGAGCTGGTAGAGGAAGAGTGAGAGGTAGGGGTAGAGCTGGTAGAGGAAGAGTGAGAGGTAGAGTTGGTAGAGGAAGAGTGAGAGGTAGGAGTAGAGCTGGTAGAGGAAGAGTGAGAGGTAGGGGTAGAGCTGGTAGAGGAAGAGTGAGAGGTAGAGCTGGTAGAGGAAGAGTGAGAGTGAGAGCTGGTAGAGGAAGAGTGAGAGGTAGGGGTAGAGCTGGTAGAGGAAGAGTGAGAGGTAGAGCTGGTAGAGGAAGAGTGAGAGGTAGAGCTGGTAGAGGAAGAGTGAGAGGTAGGAGTAGAGCTGGTAGAGGAAGAGTGAGAGGTAGGAGTAGAGCTGGTAGAGGAAGAGTTAGAGGTAGAGGTAGAGGTAGTAGAGGAAGAGTGAGAGTGAGAGGTAGAGGTAGAGCTGGTAAAGGAAGAGTGAGAGGTAGGGATAGAGCTGGTAGAGGTAGAGGTAGAGGTAGAGCTGGTAGAGGAAGAGTGAGAGGTAGGGGTAGAGCTGGTAGAGGAAGAGTGAGAGGTAGAGCTGGTAGAGGAAGAGTGAGAGGTAGAGCTGGTAGAGGAAGAGTGAGAGGTAGAGCTGGTAGAGGAAGAGTGAGAGGTAGAGGTAGAGCTGGTAGAGTGAGAGGTAGAGGTAGAGCTGGTAGAGGAAGAGTGAGAGTGAGAGGTAGAGCTGGTAGAGGAAGAGTGAGAGTGAGAGGTAGAGCTGGTAGAGGAAGAGTGAGAGGTAGAGCTGGTAGAGGAAGAGTGAGAGGTAGGGGTAGAGCTGGTAGAGGAAGAGTGAGAGGTAGAGCTGGTAGAGGAAGAGTGAGAGGTAGGAGTAGAGCTGGTAGAGGAAGAGTGAGAGGTAGGGGTAGAGCTGGTAGAGGAAGAGTGAGAGGTAGAGCTGGTAGAGGAAGAGTGAGAGGTAGAGCTGGTAGAGGAAGAGTGAGAGGTAGGGGTAGAGCTGGTAGAGGAAGAGTGAGAGGTAGAGCTGGTAGAGGAAGAGTGAGAGGTAGAGCTGGTAGAGGAAGAGTGAGAGGTAGGAGTAGAGCTGGTAGAGGAAGAGTGAGAGGTAGGAGTAGAGCTGGTAGAGGAAGAGTGAGAGGTAGAGGTAGAGGTAGTAGAGGAAGAGTGAGAGTGAGAGGTAGAGGTAGAGCTGGTAAGGAAGAGTGAGAGGTAGGGATAGAGCTGGTAGAGGTAGAGGTAGAGCTGGTAGAGGAAGAGTGAGAGGTAGGGGTAGAGCTGGTAGAGTGAGAGGTAGAGGTAGAGCTGGTAGAGGAAGAGTGAGAGGTAGAGCTGGTAGAGGAAGAGTGAGAGGTAGAGCTGGTAGAGGAAGAGTGAGAGGTAGAGGTAGAGCTGGTAGAGTGAGAGGTAGAGGTAGAGCTGGTAGAGGAAGAGTGAGAGGTAGAGGTAGAGCTGGTAGAGGAAGAGTGAGAGGTAGAGCTGGTAGAGGAAGAGTGAGAGGTAGGAGTAGAGCTGGTAGAGGAAGAGTGAGAGGTAGAGCTGGTAGAGGAAGAGTGAGAGTGAGAGCTGGTAGAGGAAGAGTGAGAGGTAGGGGTAGAGCTGGTAGAGGAAGAGTGAGAGGTAGAGCTGGTAGAGGAAGAGTGAGAGGTAGAGCTGGTAGAGGAAGAGTGAGAGGTAGGAGTAGAGCTGGTAGAGGAAGAGTGAGAGGTAGGAGTAGAGCTGGTAGAGGAAGAGTTAGAGGTAGAGCTGGTAGAGGAAGAGTGAGAGTGAGAGGTAGAGGTAGAGCTGGTAAGGAAGAGTGAGAGGTAGGGATAGAGCTGGTAGAGGTAGAGGTAGAGGTAGAGCTGGTAGAGGAAGAGTGAGAGGTAGGGGTAGAGCTGGTAGAGTGAGAGGTAGAGGTAGAGCTGGTAGAGGAAGAGTGAGAGTGAGAGGTAGAGCTGGTAGAGGAAGAGTGAGAGGTAGAGCTGGTAGAGGAAGAGTGAGAGGTAGAGCTGGTAGAGGAAGAGTGAGAGGTAGAGGTAGAGCTGGTAGAGTGAGAGGTAGAGGTAGAGCTGGTAGAGGAAGAGTGAGAGTGAGAGGTAGAGCTGGTAGAGGAAGAGTGAGAGGTAGGGGTAGAGCTGGTAGAGGAAGAGTGAGAGGTAGAGCTGGTAGAGGAAGAGTGAGAGGTAGGAGTAGAGCTGGTAGAGGAAGAGTGAGAGGTAGGGGTAGAGCTGGTAGAGGAAGAGTGAGAGGTAGAGCTGGTAGAGGAAGAGTGAGAGGTAGGGTAGAGCTGGTAGAGGAAGAGTGAGAGGTAGAGCTGGTAGAGGAAGAGTGAGAGGTAGAGCTGGTAGAGGAAGAGTGAGAGGTAGGAGTAGAGCTGGTAGAGGAAGAGTGAGAGGTAGGAGTAGAGCTGGTAGAGGAAGAGTGAGAGGTAGAGGTAGAGGTAGTAGAGGAAGAGTGAGAGGTAGGGGTAGAGCTGGTAGAGTGAGAGGTAGAGGTAGAGCTGGTAAGGAAGAGTGAGAGGTAGGGATAGAGCTGGTAGAGGTAGAGGTAGAGCTAGAGCTGGTAGAGGAAGAGTGAGAGGTAGGGGTAGAGCTGGTAGAGTGAGAGGTAGAGGTAGAGCTGGTAGAGGAAGAGTGAGAGGTAGAGCTGGTAGAGGAAGAGTGAGAGGTAGAGCTGGTAGAGGAAGAGTGAGAGGTAGAGCTGGTAGAGTGAGAGGTAGAGGTAGAGCTGGTAGAGGAAGAGTGAGAGTGAGAGGTAGAGGTAGAGCTGGTAGAGGAAGAGTGAGAGGTAGAGCTGGTAGAGGAAGAGTGAGAGGTAGAGCTGGTAGAGGAAGAGTAAGAGGTAGGAGTAGAGCTGGTAGAGGAGTTCATGGCCAAAGAAGAAAACAACTTTCAAATGAAATCAGAGCAACCTTAGTTGATCATGTCATCATGGACTGACAATGCGAGAGGCTGGACAGAGAGTGCAGCCCAACTTGAGCCGTTTTACTGCACTGGTATATGTAGTGTAACCCAGGTTAATTAAATTGAATTAAATATTAGCCCTCTATTTTTTTTTTCCTTTTGAGAGGGGAGTGACCTCAGTGAACCTCCATAACTTAAGAATTCAATTCAATTCAATTTATTTTGGATAGCGTCAACTCATAACAAGTGTTATCTCAAGACACTTTACAAAAAGCAGGTAAAAGACCTTACTCATTGTTATGTTACAAAAAGCAGGTAAAAGACCTTACTCATTATTATGTTACAAAAAGCAGGTAAAAGACCTTACTCATTGTTATGTTACAAAGATCCGGCCTATCCATCATGAGCACTTTAGCAAAGCAGCAAAAGTTACAGTGGTAAGAAAAAACATTCATTTTATTTTGTATTTATTTATTTCCCTATTTTATTTTTCTAAAACATTCCATAATCTCACCTGAACTCCGCTAAAATCTTCAACCAATCAGAACTCCTCCCACTTATCATAAACATCCGGTTCACGAGGTCACTTCCCCTCACCTCATCTCATGGCATGTTGCAGAGGCAGAATTGTTTGGTTGCCCAAGACGGGACAACGAGTTTATGATTTCCACAGCGGTCAGGTTTTTTGTGTATGAACCTTACAGCGTGGAGATGGCGAGCTAAAATCTACCAGATCTACTCTGCCTACAAGTTGGTAGGATCTAAAAAGACATTCGAACACGGATCGAAAGACATTGACTTTTTTTTGGATGGACCCAAGAAGGGTTTTTTGATTAAGAGGATATTTATGTTGGTTGTTTGAACTTATTGTTTTGTTATATTGGAAGTATTTTTTTATGTGAAATACAATAATTATTATTTAAATTTACCTGTGTTTGGATTTTGTTGGTATTCACATTTGAGCTCCGAGAGACCTACCTTATTTCTTCCTAATTTAAATTTGACTTAAATGCACAATTAGCCCACATGCTACAGTAGCACTGACTTGTTTGGTGAAAAATAAAAAAATAAATGTTTCAACAGCATGTGTGTGTATCTGCAAATATTTCTGTGCATGTGAACAATCTGAAGAATTGTCTACACTTCAAACTATTTTAGTATTATGGCAAAGCATACTAAAGATGAGAGTGCTTTTCATTATGCCCAACAGTGTGTAGTTGGTTAGACAAAAATCTGGTAATATGAATGAAGTGTGTGCCATTTGGTGCAAAAGTTTGATTTTGATAATGCTATATGTAGTTTTGGTTGCAGTGCTTCATTTTTCAGGATATGTGAGGTATTTTGCAGTTTGTGGTTTTGTGAATTGTGTTAAGTATTTTGATAAAACCAGCCTAGTTTGCAAAATTGTGTTTTAGCAATTGGAAAAAAACTCTA